GGGGTGCCCACCTTGGCCTCTGTGGGTGCTAGTGTGTTACCATACCTGATACACTATCTTAATTCCAGTTCTATGAGTCAGAACTATGTAATTGACTGCATCTGCTTTCTTTGAAAGCATCTTATGTACTCCATCCATTTATCCATCCGTCTGTTCATCCAACAACAATTTATTGGGTCTACTTTAACTGAAACTTACAGAAAAAAATGAAACATTATTGCTCTTTTCAAGGAGTACATCTGCTCTTGGAAAGGTTTAGGAATCCGGGGGAAACTTGAAACTCCATTGTTATCTGGGGCTCTGAAATAAAGGCTAGTTAATGCTAAAGATGATAATAGCAATTACTAAGATTCAAATCCAACAATAAGCTGTATACAAGAAACATACCTAGTTCAAAAAGAAACTCATAGACTGAAAGTAAAAGGATGGAAAACGGTTTTCTATGTGACAGGAACCCGGAAAAAAGCAGGGGTAGCTGTCCTATTTGCAGACAAAGTAAATTTCAAACCAGAACTAATTAAGAGAGACAAAGAAGGTCACAACATCCTTGTAAAGGGAACAATCCAAGAGGAAGAGATGAAAATCATAAATATATATGCACCAAATACTCATGTCCCTGACTATACAAAACAAAGATTGAGGGACAAGGAAAAACCAAATAAGCACTAATACAATTGTTGTGGGGTACCTCAGTTCCCCACTGTCAAAAATAGACGTGTCATCTAGACAAAACAATCAACAACGGAATAATAGAACTGAGCCTAGCTCTTTCAGTGTCTTTTAATACAGTTGTAAAACTTGACAGCAGTAGCTTTAATAATTCTTAAATTTGTAGATGAGAAGAAATTTGCCTGTAGTGATGATGCATTTTTAACTATCATTTATTGACCTCCTGGTATATGTCAATTAATGTTTTCAGGTATAAATAAAACTATTGTCTCTTCTCTCTCTCTCTCTCTCTCTCTCTCTGTCTTTCTCTCTCTCTGCATCTACATTTGAGTAAGGGCTAACAATCGTATGCATTTGAGTGGAAATAGAATACGATAGCTGTTGCTGAATGTAATGAGGTGGATGGAGTCCTATCTCAGATGGGGTAGTCGGGGAAGGCCTTCTGAGCACGGTTTGAGCCAGGACCTGTAATTTCAGGAGTCAGCTCGGCAAAGTGCCCGGAGAAGGGCATTCCAGGCAGAGGGAACATGAGTTTGAGGTGGAGGAGTCAGTACTAATTGCAGTTGACGCAATTACACACCTCTTAACCATCTGTTCACTCCTGCTATACCTCTCTTGCCTTTGAGCATGGACAAACAGGCATTTTCCCATATTCACGAGCTTCAATTGTATGTTGAGCTCAACCCTGTGTAAAATTCAGGTTGCTTGTTTTTCTTCTATATATTTTATTTTAGCTTCTGTCTTATTTTATGAACACATAAAACAAAAATTCATAACAATAATAGTTAAGACACACTATATCGTTATCTTCAAAGTAGTTACTCAGTGTGTAAGACATGGGGAAAAAAGATTCTCTCTTAGAAGTGAGAAACAAACATACTGGCGCAAGACTTTGTTTTTCAATGAAACTGGTAGTATAAATGAAGCTGAGCGTCCCCACCTCGGTGGCTATCCTGAGGCCTTGTACGTGCAGTTTGGTGAGAGAAGTATGTTGTACTGACCCTCAAATTTATGGCAGAATGAAGTTTCATCCACCTGGATGGTCTTCACTCTTTTCTGCCTGCCAGTCCCACCTGCAGCGACTGCTGTGGGGGCGTCTCCACTAGCGTCCTCATCATCTGCAGAGCAGAGCCCAGAGCACGTCTCCACGCTCTGAGTAAATCCGGGGAAGTTCTGTTAGGATGACCATCTTGGCCCTCGCACTACAGGTTTCAGGGTTGGAGATTACATGCATAGCAGTGGGGAAAAAAAATCATTGAAATGCTTCTGGTGGTGTTCGACTGCTGTCCCAGACCCCAGGTCCTTATAGTAAACTCACAAATCTCACATGTCAGGCTTGGGCTTCGAGAACATGAGAGCAGGACTTCAGTCTCTGTTGGTTTCAGAACTCTTATTCCAACATAGGATGCTGTCATTAAAGAAAGGGAAAACTGAAGATAATTGTAACCTTACTAAGCTCGTTTATTAACAGAAGGCCTTAAAAAAGAAAAGGACACAATATGTGCAGGCCACTTCTCTATTTCTACCTAGAAGGAAAGGAAATAACATTTACAGAGTGCCCATGGCATGACATGTGCTATGCCTGGGCACCTGGAGAGCATGTTTATGTTTTAGAGAGAAGGAAACAAGCATTAAGTGATTTCCCCAAGGTCATGTAAGTTGTAAGAGCATAATTTGCCTTTTTGATGCTAATGCTGCTACTGCAAACTCCACAAGGGAACATTTTTCAAAGTGAAAAAAGAAAGTATTGTGTTATCTCCTCAGCTATCATCTCCTCTGTATGATTGCTTATTAAACTGTGCATTTTTTTCAAGCTATTCACACTCCTCTTATCCAGGTGCTCTGAAATGGCTTTTTTATGCTTCCTAGACTAGGTCTCATTCTCGCTCATGTATTAGTCAAGGCCACAGGAGCCTTTTTTTAGAGCTTACCCATTACAAGGCATTGTATGATTTAAAAAAAAAAAAAAAGTAGCTTAGATGATTAAAAAAAAAAAAGATGGGAGATGTTTCCCAGCACCCCCTGGATGGAGTGAAGAGCGAATGGTCGTTTATCTCGAAGGTTTTCCTTTTACCTGAGCTTGTCATTTCCAGGGATCATCTTGGTTAAATTAGATTTTAATTCTGAAATATTGTCCCTTGAAATATTCCCACTGGCCAATTCATATCTCCTGAATAATAGGATTCAAGCCAAAATGGAAAGGGCTGGTAAAGTAAATGAGGAATATCTGTCATGTGACCTTTAGGAACACATTTTAACTATGTGTTTTCCAAATACAGAGTTTTGCAGGTGTAGGAAGTTGTAACTATAAAGCATATATCTGACATTCCTAAGAAACAGGGACTCTGAAGCTGAACATTTCCCATATGCCTTGAGGTGCCCCTGTTACACCTTTTAAGCGGGGTCCGAGAAATGTTTAGTTCTGTGTACTCATTGCCTGCCTGCCTGCCTCCCCTCACTGCTGCTTTGAACCTGAGAGAGGGTGGCTTCTCTCTTGTTAAACTTTCTTACATACTTAGAACGTAGAAAAAAAAATCTTACTCTTTTTTTCTTTGTGTAGCGAGCCATTAATAAAATAAAAATCTGTTAAGAGTCATCTAGAAGAATGTGTGGCACAAACCTAATGAGAAGCGGGAGTGTTTCCAGGTGCCTGCAGTGACTGTAAACTCATCTGAAACTCTGCCCAACAAGGCTATGTAGTATTAAGCGTTAAAGCCTCAGTACATGTGGTAGCCCTCTTCCCAGCAAGGTCAAGATGACCCTAACTCTTGTGACCTCTCTCATTCATGCATAAACTCGTCACTGTCTGGAGCCTTGGATGCCTTTCTGGGAGAGATTCGGGCATGGCGCTGAGCTTGGTGAGAAGCCTCAATACTGTCCCATGATGTGTGTCCTCCTGTGAGAAGCAGGGGTGACTGACAGGCTGTGACCATGGTTGCACCTGTTCCTACCAGCCCTGAAGAAAGTTTGCAGTTCTCTTGATGGCAGGGGCTGGTGAAGTAGATGTGACAAGTATGTGGTGGGTGTGGAGATTATGTAACATGTGTGAATCCTTTTTCAATGTGTGCTTAAATTCAAAGTCATACTCATATCCTTGTCTGTCTAGATACAGCATTTGGAGCTAAAGCTGTTTAGTACTGTGCTAGAATTCTCTGGAGAAACAGAATCAGCAGTGGGGAGAGATGGAAAGATTTGTGTGTACATATATATATATATGAGAGAGAGCAAGAGAGAGAGAGGAACTTACATTAAGGATTATGGAGGTGGGAAATTGGCAGCCTAAAGATTATTAAGAAACAGTGGCATTTCAGCCCAAATATTTGCCTCAGATCCAGGAAAAGCCAGTGTTACAATATGAACCCGACAAGAAGAACCTTCCACCCCTCAGAAAAGGGCCACCCTTTGTGTTCTTTTTTTCTTTTTTTCCTCATTGAGTTTGTTGGTATATTTTAGGGTATACAGTACAGTTACATTCATCACTGGGATCTCGAACCTTTACATGACAGGTCTTGGTTCTCATTTCATTGTCCTACAGAAGGGTGGGGGGATTTGCTCTACTCAATCTACCAAAGCACATGTTTAAACAACAGATCTAACATAATTTTTTTGGCATACTGATTTATCCATTTGTGTGTGGGGGGTGATATTGGGGTTCAAACTCAGAACCTTGTACTTATGAGGCAAGCACTAGAACCACTGAGCTAAATCACTGGCTCCTTATCCATTTTAAGTGACAAAAATGATATACATTTACAGTACACTGCATGATGTTTTGATATTTAATATGTATTGTAGCATGGCTAAATCAAACTTTAATATAGAGATTACTGTGTGTGTGTGTGTGTGTGTGCATGTGTATGAGTTAAGAACATTTAAAATCTATTCCTTTCTCTGTACTAGTAAGAAAACAGTGGGTTTTTGTTAACTGTAGTTACCTTGCCACACACTGGACCCCTTGAACTTATTTCTATCTAGGCAACCAAATGCTCAGTCAAGATGTCATAGAAAATTAACACAGCTACTATCCCAGAAATTCTGTATGGATTAATTCTGAATATTTAACATCTGTTGTCATCTAGTGCGCTGTCCTTTCTTGTGCAGGACGTTACCCCAAGTCTGGGTCCCTGAAATGGCTCAGAAGGTAAAGGTTTCCTTTCTCCCATTATTAAGGATGGATCATCGGTGGTGTAGGAAAGGTGAGGCATTAGTTAAAAGAAATAAAAGGAAAACTTTGATAAGTTTTAATTACTTAATAATTCAATAAGTTGTTTACTTCCAGTTAAAGTCAAACTACCATTTTTTATGGGAGAGGAAAGCACCTGAGTCTTTGTGAACCCTAAAACACCTCTTCTGCATTCCTTTCCTCCTGGATTGCTTGCTTTGCAATGTTGGGTGAGTTCCGATCTCTTCCTTTCTCCTAGGAGCCATCTGTGATAATTCTGCTGCAGTCCGTTTTATGACTTACTTCTGAGCCCGATCTTTCACACCCTGCATCTTCTCAACGTTGGCAGCTTCGCTGTTGTGCCTCTTTTTTGATCCCTCTTCACAGACCTCTCAGAGCAGATTGAATCAAGTCAGTGCTCAACTGTGTGTGGCAGAGGGTAACCTGCCATAGGAATTCAGAGAAGGAGGTTAGAAAGTGCAGCACGGAGATGGGGGCGGGAGCTGGGAGACGGCAGGTGGGTGATTCAGTACAGGGATATCACTACGCATTTACGTCAGGCCGGGTTCCATGCTAAGATCACATGTACGTGTACACACACTCCCTGATGGGGGACCCTGCCATGTCCATTTGTCGGGGGGCGGGATCAAGAGTGGCCCTGTGACCAGTAAGTGACTGGATCTAGATCCAAGACAGGTCTTTCTGACTCCAAAACTTCTGGTCTGGTCCATTGTGTCTGTGGATGTGGCTCTTCATAAGAAGCAGGGAATATATTCTTAAAAAACAAACTCCCCTTGAACAAAAATCACATAATCTACTGTGGGCGGGCAAATTTTTTAGAGATTTATTTTTGAAAGTAAGTCAGAAAAATCATGAAAGTGTGGCTCAGTGCTTCCGTTTGGAAGTGTTGTTGGAATTCACTGAAATGAAAACAGAAATAGGCTTCCATTATTCCCCCAGTTTACAGGTGTGATTGGCACGTGGTCCTGGGAAGAATGCAAGTGCAAACTCCTCAACAGCAGCTTTGCCGAGATGTTTGGTTGATCTGGCCCTCTCACAACTATCTGCTTTCATCTTCTTCTGCTCCTTAGTTTACATGCAGGTAGTAATCACACTGAGAACTGACATTTTTAGTGTCCTTCAAATGTACTCGAACTCATTGCCCCCTACCCAAATCGTCTGATGGCTGGCCTCCCTCCAGTGGGTTTCCTCTGAGAGACAACTTCTTAGATGCCCTGCCTGAAGTCTACTTTCTCCTCTCTGATTATCCTCTGTCCTCCTCTGCATGGTTTTTCACAGAACTTCGAAGCTCATGGTTGTGGGCTGCTAAATGCGTGGAAAGGAAGGAAGCCGTGCCTTCTTTCCCCGAGCGGATGGAACTCTGTAATGGTCCGACAGTCCCCCATTGCACCCTGTATCCAGTCATGCCACTGTCTCAAAAATACATGCATGAAATATGGGACAATTATTAAGTCGTAAAACAGGAAGCAGGGGAAGCTGCAATGGACACCTTCACTGCACAACCGCTTCTTTGTAGTTTAAAGCTAGACATAAATATGGAAATCTGTGACACATCTAAAAGACAGAGAATGCATCTGGTACCGTCCCCTGGAAGACCAGATTGGACATTCAGACTTGAAGAGAGGGCCATAGAAATAGGGCAGACAGCTGTAGTGCTGGGAGTCCACGGACTAGCTTTCATATTTCTGGATCTATCTCTGGAAACCTTCCTTATAAGTATCAAAAAGACTTCAGGCCCTTTGAAGGTTTAACTGGAAGTCTCATAAAAGGCACTGTCGTGTACAACTGACAGCTTTTCCTAATGAAAATAGAAGACAGGACGAATGGCTCCCATGGGGCATACACCCCGGTGAAAGAATGTATTTTGGAAGGGATTTTCGCAGAGTGCAGTTTTAGTATCACTCGGGCCTGGCGCTTAATCGGGCTTTCCTGGTGGGAAATACTCACCTAGCAGCAGGGATTGCCATGGTACGAATTTAATCTGAACGCTTGGCATAGGCCTAATCATATTTCTCTTACTCCCTTTTCTGTGCCTCCTTAAGATAAATGAGTTCCCTCTTTTATCAACAGTGGCTCGGGATTCATAAGCTCACATTTTTCACTGAGGACGGGAGATGTAGCAACTTGCACTTTATTATCTATCTCTCATTTTCTTCCCTTCAAACAATCAATAAATTTCCCATCAATGTCTCCGTTTAAAGGTTGCTTATAGGTTACTATTTCTGAACGATGTTCTGGCGTTGCTTTTTGAGCCTAAATCTTCCCTGACTGGAAGTGTGTGCATTTAGAGTGATTTGCAGACGTCTTTGCAAGAATTTCTTTAGTAAAATTGCAAGACAGTGTTAATTGTAGCTCTGCTGAGTTACAGGCACCAGAACCCAGTGACAGCTCCAGTGTGTTGTCTAGGCAGCATCTCTTTTTTTATGCGTCCTGGAGCTGGACTGTGTTTGGGCGAAAGGACTTTAATGTCCCTACTGTCCAGCTATTCATTGTGAGTCGGAAAAAGAGACAGATTGAAAGAGTTTAGGCCTAAACAGATTTATTTGCACCAGCAGCTAATGGACAGAACCTAAGGGGTGTATTTTTGCTGTGATTCCGTGGGATAAGCTGACATTTTATCACAAACGTTCTTTAAGGATAATCTTAATGTGGAGAAGTCTATAACAATCCCTCTTTTGATCTGTTTGCTTGGATGTCCTGCAAGCACAGTGCTGCTTTGTATAAATGGTATCTGAGGCTGGCCGGTGTGAGCCAGGCTTGAGTTCATTTGTGAGCTGGTATCTGGTCTTTAGTGGCCAGTAGAAAATGTTTCATGCTGTAAGTGAAAATTTACTGGCCTTTTTTTTTCTCGGTGAGCAGTTGTGACAGGCTATTGGGATGATAAGACAGCTGAAGTACAGGTACTGGGCTCTTAATATATCTTTTCCAGGTGATGCTGAATTGGTCACATTTCCCTAGCCAAGCGAGTTGTAGGCAGGTGGGGAAATACAGCACTATGTGTGCTGAAAGCAGTGGAGAGCAGCTCAATATTTTAAATCACAATCTTCCTTCACCCTGTATTTCTGAGCAAAGTCACCTGTTAACCCTCCGTGGACATGTAACTTGGGTAAGAAAGCAAACTTCATTAATTAAATTCAGTGAATTTTTTGTCTGTTACTGTAATATACTCTGGGCTTTTTTGTGTATTTACTTATCCACATGTTGTTTGATTCATTCTTCAATTTGTAAACTAAAGCTGTCTGGATTCCCTAAGTACATACGTGAAATGTGAGACTTCAAAAGGTGAAGCTAACAGTCTAGCCAGTGCAGGCTGATTCCAGGCCTTATATTCTTATTCAGAATACAAAAATTCTGCATGTACGTGTGCATGTGCGTGTGTGTGCACGCTCGTGTGCGCCTATGTTTTCTTGTTAATAAGGAAGAGGATGACGAAAGGATTGAGAAGAATTAAGAAAGGCTTCTCAAAGAAACCTGTAGCTAAGTCCTACAGAACAAGTGGAATTTAGGTAGTTTGATGTAAAGAGATTTAGAGTTAGTCCCACTGTGTGTGTTTTGGAGAAGGGATTTCCTGGCCTACAATTTACTAAGCCCCAGGAAAAGTATGACTGAACCAGCATTCATGTTGCACCCTGGAAATACAGAGTGTTTCGTATGCAGTGATCTTGGATCTGTCAATCATTTAAAGCAATTTTAGGAGCTCTTATAAAATATTTTAAAAATCCCAGTTCTTGACCCACTGAGTCACCAAGGCAATGTGATAATTCTGTATGTTTCACTCTCCTTCCCCGACATACATATGGTTCTAACCATTATATAAGCTTTATGGTGAGAAGGTGGTAGTAATACATTGATGGAACAGAAAAGAAGTCAAGATGACACAGCAAATGACAAAGGAGCAGAAGCTGTGACCCAGCATAGATTGCTCCTCTGACCCTTGCCCTTCCTCTTGTGTTAATCAGCCAGAACTGGTGATGCCACCATTTTTAATGCTGCCCAGCAACGTTCAGTAGCTGCCTGTGTGCACACTCCAAGAATTAACTGTCTAGGTCACGGAACACTTTTAGTGTCTAATTCAGCTCCGTCTTGCTTCCAGACAAATCCTTCATCAAGCTTAGTCTTTGATGCAAACAGAATACAACCAACAAAGTGAAGACAAATCACAAATGCCATTCACCTGGGATTCATTTTTCTCCTCTTCATGCTACCTCCTCTTTCTGCCAGCACACATCTCTGAACTGGTCCTCTTCAGTGGTCTGGGGAACTTCAAAGCTAGTAAATCTGTATCTCCTGAATTGGCATCTCCTTCTCCCTGAACATCGTTTTGTGTTTGCTACTTTTTTTTTTTTCTAAAAAACAGCCTTGTTAAGGCTATATTTGTATTCTGTATGACTCACCCATGTTAAGAGTACAATTCATTGCTTTTCAGTAAATTCACTGTTGGGCATCTATCCTCACAACACAATTTTAGAGCCCTTCATCACCCGAATAAAATCCCTGGAGTCAATTTACACACAGTCTACCTTCCCAGTTCCCCAGGAAACCTCTAATGTACTTGCGTTCTTTATGGATTTGTCTCTCAGGACATTATAAATAAATGGAGTCATACAATGCCTGGCGTTTTGTGTCTGACTTCCTTCACACAGTGTCATGTGTATGACGCTTATCTACATTATAGCATCTATCAATATTCCATTGCTCTAGTTCTAAATAGCACTCCGTCCCACTGATGTAGATTGGGAGATTTATCCATTCATCGGTTGATAGACATTTAGATCATTTACTTCTTTGGCTCTTATGACTTAGGTAGCTATGAACATTTATGTGTAAGTCTTTGAAGGGACATAGATTTTTGTTTATCTTGCACAGTTAAGAGAGTTATTGCTTTGTCCAAAGGGGAAAAACTTAGCCTTTTAAGAGTCAAGCTCTAGTTGAAACTGTTCACCTTAGTGGTAGCAGAGAGTTCTTGCGTCTCCACATCCTGTCCATCCTGTGTGTTACTGATGTATTTTCTTTAAGTTTAGAATTTTGCAACAGTTCTTGTCTTTTCTGTGGGCATTTAGCCCAGGGCTGGGCACACAATTGGCACTTAACAGGGCATTGCAGTGGTTCAGGACTTTTGTTTCAGAGTTAAACCATAGAGGATCTCTGAGCATCAGTTTCCTCAACTATGGAATCGTACTAACTGTGCCTTCTTTCTAGAGTTACAAGGAGGATTGAGGGGTTTTAGGCAGATAGTGTGCTTTGTGTATGGAAATGATAGCTTTCATTACTAATGTCCTAAAATTCATGTGAACACTCTCTCATTTAGCCAGTTTTTTATTTCTTTTGCAATCACAATTAGAGATCTACAGGTGATATGCCAGGCCCCAAAGTTAGAGTAGTAAGGAAGTCGGCACCTTTATGGCAAGGAAATTGAAATCTGGTGAGCGAGGACATGGATGCATATGTCCAATGACAAGTGACATGAGATAAGAGCAGAGGTGAGGTGCAGAAAGAGGTATGAATTACACAATGGAACTAGGAGAGGGGAGCTGTGAGATCTAACTGGTGATGGGACCTCAGAGGAGAGACAGCTGATGCAGAAAAGACTTTTACCTAAAACCAAAGGACTGGAGGGGAAATGACATTTGTAAGCGCATTCTAGTCAAGGAACAATTACAAGCACCACTAAAGAGGGTAAGAATCTAGAGCACCTGTTAGTGTGTTAGGGGACACAGGGAAGGCAGACTGGTGAGAGGTGTGGCTATTGGGTGAGCAGGAGCAGAACACAATGTGTGTCATGTGACACACCGGTATCAGGTAAAAAAGTTGAAGACCAAGACCAGACTAGAACCACTACAAGTCTTTATTGTAGGGACAATCTGCCAAGATGTCTCTGATCAAAGCAGAGAAAGTGATATGGCAGAACAGAGAGCTTCTTTTATAGGACTGGAGTGGGACATAAAGGAGATGGGGTAGAATTAAGTGATAGTATTAAGGGATTGGAGGAGCCTGTGACATCACTAGGAGGGGCTTGTGACATCACTGGTTACTCAGAGGTAGCAAGTATCCGGTTATTTTTTGGCAGGAGAAGAAGCATCATGGGAAGAAGAAGTCTGTCTTATGTGTGACATCTGGTTACTCAGAGGTAGCAAGTATCCGGTTATTTTTTGGCAGGAGAAGAAGCATCATGGGAAGAAGAAGTCTGTCTTTTGGTAGGCGGGAGAAGCCATCTTTTTAGGTGAGAAGCAGGGCATTATGGGAAGGAGAGTAATGGCCATCTTAAGGAAAGGGAAATCTTAACAATCGCGGGGAATTTGCGGCTTACCTTTGCTGCTGCTGTTCTGTTGTACTTCCAAGTCTGAGGAGCTACCGAGAAGATGGTTCAGTATGTACGTTGTTGACATGACCATCTGAAAATGAAAGGAAGAAAGATCAGGCTCAGCATGTGCAATATTCTAATATGATGTCCTCATTTTTTTGTTTTTGTTTTCATTATGAACTTCTCCCTTAGGAACATTTGTTCTCTGTCCTTCAGAATATCTGTGCTTGCTATGTAGAAAGAGTAAAATTTTTCCAGGCCCTCACCTCCCCAACAACCATTCTTTCCTTGGAAGAGGCTGTATCACAGTGGTTGGGAGTATGCACAGTAATTAACTGGTTCTAACATTTTTGTCACCCCCACATTACCTTTCAAAATGCAACTACAGAAGACCGGCATCTACAGAGGTTATGACTTTTGGTTTCTTGTCTTTTAAAAGATGTGAAAATGATAACATTCAGTAGAAATCTTCCTTCAGATTTTGAATTTTGATCTGTTTCTGCATTGGAACGCTGGGTAGAGGTACAGGCCATAGATCTCAGTCAGTCATGCAGAGGAGAGGGTAAGGGATGTTCTACACGGTATTGTCTTACTGTGTTGTGATGTGCAGTAGGTTAGGTGTCTTAACTGCATTTTCATCATCCAGTGGGTTTTATACCTGTGCCTGCAGGACACACCTTGTCATAAAGCAACAAACCCCTGTATTTGTAATGAATACATTTTGTTACTCAGTGAGTGTTTCCTGAACACTTACTAAGCACTATTTTAGAATTTGAGAGCGTAAGAGTGAACAAAACAGCCAGAAATCTCATCCTTCATGAAGCTTACATTTTATGTTTTCACAGGGTCTGCCTGTGCCGGGCAAATGCTCTATCCCTGAGCCCTGCTTTCAGCTTACTTGCCTTTTAATGCAGTCTGTGCATAGGTAAAATGGTTCAATGCTTAGGTCAGAAGTGAATTGCCCTTCCCATTAAAAGTGCTCTGGGAAGAGATCGTCTTGAGACTGCTAACTAAAACAGGACTTGGCATGACTTCAAGCCTGAAAATGTGCTGACCAAATTAAAAACCTGCCTGACGCTGATGCAGCAGGAAAACCAAAGAAACGAGAAACAACATTTGCTTAAAATCAATATGATGCCAGTTTCCAGCACTTGTGCTACAAGGCCCAGCACAGAGTCCACGGCACTGGGGGGTTTGCAGATGTCCTGGAGTTTTGCTCAACACCAGTGGTGGCCTGGTTGCTGCGCTGTCTTGGCCTTGACAGAGAAAACTGGAATCTCACACACATAATCCCTTAAAGTGCAGTGATTTTTTTTTCCCTCCTCTATCACATCTGGATAAGGGAATCCAGTGAGGCCAGAGTCCTGCAGCTGTTTCTCCCTGAGGCTTCCACCCGTCCTGGGGACACTGGAAGGATCCTGGTCTCCAGGATCCATACCCCTTGTACACATCTCAGCTGAAAACATCTGCTCTTCTCCTGCCTCTCTTTCCACCATGGTGGTTCTTGCCTTTTACAAAAGATGGGGATATCGTGGTGCTCTTAGGCTGCCTCTGCTCCTTCCTGCTCACAGCGTCTTAGCCAGGCTGGGTGCCCTTGTGCAGTGCTGATCTGAGGAGGAAGCCCAGGGCGGCAGCAGACAGAGTATGAGAGGAGCAAAATCATGCGTGGTCTGGCCCAGGCCCCTCTGGTGTCTCTGTCTGTTCCATCCTGATCATGTAGAAAACTTTCTGTGCAAAGCAGCCAGCCAGCCAGTCAGAGTGGATCAGAGAAAAAGAGGAACAAACGCTGTAATCCTTGCAGCAACCCAGGGCTTGCCCACCTCAGCTGTGCAGTCTTCTCTGAAAGGCCTCAGGCGGCCGCCTGAATGTTGACTGGGGAAATAACGGGATTTGCTCTTATATTTAAAAGCCCCTCTTCTGGGTGTGTACCCCAGGCCAGGGCTGGGGTATCACTGGGGATGCCATGACCAACAGGACCATCGGAGCCCTGTCCTCACTGTACTGCAGTTGAGCCTGGCTGCCCATGTCTCTCTGAAGGACGGCACCGACTTCGGAACCATCCTGCGGACAGGGCTCCGACTCCAACCAGCCATCGGGTCACCCAGGTAGTGGAATTTTTATCCTTCTCTTGCTGGAAATTAAAACTTCACTATTTGAAGGTGGGAAGGTGATGATTCTGAATCTCCTAAATTTTTACATCTTACTAGAAGGAAAGTTATTCTTCAGAATCGACCTAAAACCTCTATCTTAATATTCACAGCTACTGGTTTTTTTTAAAGGTTTTCCTTCTTTATCAGTACATGTTTGCACCACATAATGACTGCCTTCCTTATGGAGAGTCGGCACACGTACCTAATGAATCTTTATTCCTTTTCATCCCCTTCCTCTTCCCCCTCTGCCCTTCCTACATCTCTTGGCCCCCTTCCCATTAGCAAAAGATTTGGCTCCCCTGGTTCCTATTATTTACTGATCTGGTCTTTATTTATATCTTAGGTTTCTCATATCAGAGAAACCATGCACTGTAGCTGCTGTTTTAAGTAAAACTGACCTCAAAGTGTTGCGATGTGTCCTCAAAACAGGCTCATTGTGCCAAAGCTGTGAAGAAAACTTTCTGAATGTACTGGAGAGCCCTGCAGGTAGGTTCCAGTACCCACCTGCCCAGTGTTCAGTGTAGACCTGAGAAATAAATACACTAAGAGACAGAACTAGAAGAGAAAGTGGGGTGCCAGGACAACCAACCCCAGTGGAACAGAAAAGGCTCTGGCCAGTCCCAGGCAGTGACTTTTATTGGCAATCGAATGGGGTAAAGGCGAGCTAGGTGCAGTGTCTATGGGAATTAATGCAAAGAAGGCTCGTAAAGGACAACACAAAGCATTCTTATATTAGGAACAGAAGAGACAAAATATGTGCTTATAATTAGAAGCCTGTCCTTCTAGTCAGAAGGTCTTGGTTGTGGGAACGGGATTGAGGCGTGAATTACTCTGACCTCAGTTTTGGGGTTCGTTCTTCACAGCCTGCTTTGCGCGTAATAAATATTGCAGTCGTCTGCATAAATGTGGGAACATATTTAGCTGACTACTCTAGCCTGCTTTGTTTTGCAAATAGAGGTCCAAAACAACAAAATGAACAAACAATATTCGGTAGATATTTGCTACTTTTCGACAGTCCTAGAAACAAAGGAGGAGGCTGGAAAATTAAAGGCAATGATGCACAAGAATAGAAAGAAACTCTTAAGTTGAAGAAATGGTCTGGCTTGGCAACTGAGTGGTGAGTTTCAGGCCACAAGAAGTGTGCCAGCTGACTCTGAAAGGAGTTAGTTGTTGGGTTAATAGGGAAAACTTTTATAAGGAGCAGACACCTATAAAGTGTTACAATGTAAAATGGCTTCTGCTTCCTCTAACAGCAGTTTGTTTTGCTCAGAACTAATAGGAACTGAAGGCACTGATTGCTGAATGAGGCATTTTGTCCTACCCAGAGATAACAGGGCACATCCAGACCTTGAGCTCCAAAGAGACTAGAGCCACCTGATTGTAAGAGTGTCCCGATGAAAGAAACCATGGCTAACGTTTACTCCCCTGCCTCTCAACCCCCTCTCCTATGGACTAGAATAGATAACTAGGTGAATCTTCAAGGTAAACTCCCCAATCTTTTCTGGGTTGAAAAGATGAACTAGTCTGTGACCATGATTTGAACCGTAAGAATGATATGTAACCACCCAAATGAAGTCAAGGCTGTGAAACCCTCTAAAAGGAGGAGTTGTAACCCAGTGCGTTGTCGATCTAGGCACGGCTTATGTGCGATCGACCCTTATCGGTAAGTAAATGTATTATTTTACTTCCATTCTGCTGCCTCTCTGTGTTGCTTACTGATTCCTTCCGTGACAGGGTTAGGTTGGTGCTTCCCGCTCTCCAGTCATCTCTATACTTCCTGCACGCTCTTTCATCGTCTGTCTGTTGTCTGTGTTGTAAACTGTATCTCAAGTTGGTATTTGGAGAGTCTTCTGTTTCTGTGACTCCCGAAGGCACTCAACACACAAATATACACACTGCAGCCTTTCCAAAAATAGCCAAAGATTCCTTTTACGTTCCTGGGAATAACCAGAAGCTGAGTTGTAAAAGGAACCACTATACTCTGAGAAGGTAGACTGTGGTGCTCCATGAGAATAGATGGTATTAAATCGCCAATGGTCCTATTTATTAGGAACAGTTACCGCAGAAGCTAAAATCAAAGTGACATTAAAAAATCCACCAGGAATATAAGGTTATTACTCTTCCCTATGGTAGAAATTAAGAAAAATTATTTAAGAATATAGAGTCTGAATTAGAAAGATAGATAGGCTCAAAATCCTGTTTCTGCAATTAATTAGCTCTGTGATTTTGATCAAGTTACAAACATATTTGCTCATTTGTAAAATAAAATAATATTTAGGGGCATCGAGAGGATTCACCTGGTCAATGACATACAGTACACCTTCTTGATAAATGCTTATTTTTCACACCAGTTGGGGAGTAGCATTTTATGTCATTGTTCAAGTTTTAGAATTACAGTTAGTGTTTTTAGAAGATTAGAAGTGCAGGGAGGCAAAAAGAAGAAAATAAATAGGTAAAGATACTAATATTTGATTATGTTTCCCCCCTAGGATTTTGTTCTCCTGTAAAATTTCCTGTGAAATTTGTGCGACTGCATGTGTACCTGTGTACTGATGAGCATATATAGGGACATACTCTTCTTGTTACTTAGACAAAAATGCCTGATGCCCAAAGTTAAAGGAGGACAAATTTATGTAGCTCGTACTTTGTACAAGTTTCCAGCTATAATCGGCTGGCTTCAAGGCAGGGTGGCATATGGCAGAGGGGCGTCACAGAGTTGAAACGGTTCGCGACATGCACAAGGGAACAACACAGCAAGGGACCTTAGTGTCCTCCTGTGTCCCTTTTATACTCTAGGCTATTGATATTAGGATGGTGTCAAGTCAATCAGTGCACTGATTTAGTGATCACCCGCCCTTCATGCTAGTGTTGTCCCATGAATCGGTCACACACACTAGATTCAGCAACCTCTGAAAAAGCCCCACCTCTGACTTCATGAGGCTTTGAGGGGGGGCATCTAGACACAAGCCATAACATACAGGTATTTAAAAGTGGAATTAATGGGTTTCATTTTGGCAGATTCTTAAATGCATATAATATAATTTGATCATTTCCTTACCTTGCACACACACTGTTTCCTCTTCTCTCCCCTTGGTTCCATTCCTGTTTAGTAATAGGCCCTCTTTTACTTTCAACATAATCGCCTGGCTTCAAGGCAGGGTGGCATATGGCAGAGGGGCGTCACAGAGCTGAAACGGTTCGCGACATGCACAAGGGAGCAACACAGCAAGGGACCTTAGTGTCCTCCTGTGTCCCTTTTATACTCTAGGCTATTGATATTAGGATGGTGTCAAGTCAATCAGTGCACTGATTTAGTGATCACCCGCCCTTCATGCTAGTGTTGTCC